AGTTGTAATTATTCTGTCAACTAGTTTTGGCGATTTTACATGCGGTCAGGAGACGTAGAGAAAGAAATGCAATTCTTTTCACGTTACGGGATTAAATGAAAATACGCCGACAGCGGGAGGAGGGTCCAGCAACAGTCGCGGCTGCAGTCGCTCTGGTGCTGGGAACGGTTTCGGACAGACAGCGGGAACAGCTGATCAACATGTGAGATAAATGTTCGCTACATCACAACTGATTGGACAAATGTGTTTCCATTTCTCTTTTTGCGCATTAACTCTTTTTCGAAAAAAAAAACAAAACAAAAACCACCTCAAGCGAGCGTATCAACTTTGATGCGAATTAGAGGAAGTTTTTTTTCGAATCATGCCGTTTCCATTCACCTTTTCTGATGCGGTACTTCAAAATGCGCATAAAAAAACCTTGATGGAAACACAGCTAATGGCTGTGGTGGATGACTGGGCCACCAAAAGGCATTGTAATTCTGTCACACTATTGTAGAGCCACTTCAGACCTGATAATGAGTAGAAAAGCGCTAACGGGCCGTAAGACAATGGCTAATCTCTTGAAGGCACCACATTTATACCAAAGCTCAAACCTACATAAACACATGTAAATTCAGACAAAATGGGGAAACCCAAGTCTGCTTGAAAACATTAACCTGAAATAATTAACTGAGCTTTATGTGCGTCTGTTTTGTGTTTGTGGCAACAGCACAGTGTACTCATTTAACACTCTGTCAATGAATTTCATGTAAGGGTGGGCTGAATTCACAGTAGTGTGGATATCTGGAGGTGCTGTGTGGTGAACTGAGTGAACGACAGGAAGTAATAGAAGAGTCCTACCTCTGTGGCCACGTGCATTCTTCACCACCACCGGGTAGCCTAGTGGCTCGGCCTCATCGATCATCTTACGGAAGTTGTCATGCCCTCCTAAAAAACAAACAAACAAAACGTTTACACCCCACAGACACACAATAAAATGTGTTAAACCTACTCAGGTTTTCATAGCATGGTTCACATAGTACAGCCAGCCTTCGCAGAGCAAAGCAAGGGAACATAGCGCGTTACTATAGAAACAGGAGCGCCTCGAAACAGGAAGGCTGTAGGAGTGTTGTCCTAAGCTCAGATTCATGAGATAAGAACAGGCTGATGAAATTAATGTGAAGCAGCTGACCATATCGGATAATGACTCCTGATGACAGCTCGCTGTAACAGACGTGCAAAGGCTTCCTCAGCCTCGACTTGAGAAAAGATTTAAAAAATGTGTTTTAAAATTGTGAGATAAACATTTTATTTCCACGTTTTTCCTCCRCTCTGCTTCAGATACTGATTCGCAATCTTCATATTTCCATTCTGGTCTTATTTGGCGTTTAGTCAAAGGGACAGATGCAAATGATCGTGTGGCTCGGCTCTTCCTTTCTTTTCCCCCCGGTGAACTGCATCACACGTGTTCGCACCGAGAGAAGGACAGAAAAGAGGAGGAGACAGTTTGACGCCAAATGTGGTTATAGCCACATCGTAAGCTGCTAAGCAAGACTATTGTTTTATTTTGAAAAATGTGTGTCCGTGATGGTGGTGGGAGGTGGTTGTTACATAAGCTCTCCAGCTGCTCTGTATGCATCGCCTGGCCTACTGTGCACAGACACACATGGAATGTAGGCCAAACCTCATCCTCCTCATTCTTTCTTTTTTCCCTTCGTTCTGTCTGTATCCTTCTGTTTCTGCTCTCATGAATACCACAGCACTGAGGTTTTTTTTTTTTTTTTCACAAAAATGTGTGCTGCTGGTTATCAGTCCTTCCCTGCCTTGGCTTAAAAATAAATCAATGAATACAGAAAATAAAACCAACAAAAAATATACAAGGTTTCATGAAGAAGCTTAAGGAGTATTATGGTATATCTGAGTGTGTGGGTGCAGTTTATTGTAGGAAGCTGTGGTACTGTGAAGGATAATTATTTGTTTGGGCATTTCATGTTCTTTCCTCTGTTCTATATTCTGCAAGGGTAATTGTAGGCTCATTGTGTCTGCACAAACCCCCCAAGACATGGAGTAAAGGGTTAAGTGTGGGTCAGGTCCTTAGCTGAGTATCATCTGACTGAAGAAATTGTTCTCAATTCAAGAAGCAATTCCTAACAAACCTTGAATTGGATATTTGTGACTTAAATATAAAGATCACTAGACTGAGCCCCGCCCATACCGTCCACTGGTAGCGTCTGTGACAGCATGGAGGAGCAGAAACAGAGACCAAACAGAGCAACAGCTCACAGCCTCCATAGAAACTAATAGATAAACAGCAAGCTGAACTGGATCTGTTTCACAAATTATCTGTCATGTTTTTACAATAAATTAATAAGTATGTTAATTTCAGAAGAGAAAAACATATACGGTAATTTATAAGTAACAATGATCTAAACCAGACCTGAAGTCAGCCTGTAACTTAGACTTTAGCTAGTTGAAAAATGATGACTTCAGCTAGTAATAAAGTATATTTAATATTTCTTCTTACTGTCATAAAAAATAAGAGCATTTATATTTACCAGTCAACAGTTAGAAAATGTTCTCTGATTATAGGATGAAACTAGTCTCTATTAGCTAACCATCTGCTCAACAGGTCAGGTTCCTCTTACAGAAACCTAAAAATACTCACATTTATAATATTATTTTACACTCTGTAGGTCTAAATATTAATCAGAGGACAAATCAGCTGTAATATTTAATAGTTTGTGTTAAATTGTTGCAACAGTGCTAAACTCTGTATTTATGCTCCACAAGCTAATATCTGCTAACCAGTTCAACAAATAACAGTGATTACATGGACTTTATAAGATTATTTTAATTTTAAACTGTTACATTATGTTCTGCTCCGATCACATTGAGCTAAATAAGATCAAATCTGCTGACTTGTGTTGTGAAATGAGACACTTTCCTGTTTATCTTCTGTTAATAAATCCATAACACAAACAGCTTTTCTGACATTATTTAAAACATTAGATAGATTATATAAACTGCAAAATATTATTAATACTTGGGTTAGTATTATTATTAATAGTTTTTATGATTTCTACATCGTCACTCCTTTTCTTTCTGCTGTTGTCAACATGTACAGTAATGGGAAATCCAGAACTCTTGACCATTTTGCGTTAGCCGTTAGCTTCACCAGCCGATCACACRGTCAYGTGGTTTCTGCGCACTCCATCTGTTCTATTGAACCTACTTGGCTATTGCTAAGAAAAAGATAACAAGAATGTACATCAAAATTGCAAGAAACAAATGCATTAAGCACAAATTTACCATAAGAGAAGGTGTCAGGAAGAGGCACCCCATGACCGGCTAGTTCTTGAAAGGTCCAAAACTTGTTGACACAGTTGAGTATGGCCTGGGGCCGGTTGATTAGCCGACAGCCCATCTTTTCCAGGTGACGCAGAACAGTGATGTCACTGTCAGATTGAACCCAAGGCGTGGGGACCCGTACTACTACCACCTGGGGATAAGACGTCACCAACTCTTGCTCCACTCGAAGACCTAAAGGGTCAGATGGTGAAATGAGAGGGAYGGCGATTAGACTGGTGTTAGCAGTTATCAACAATGCTTACTTTGAGAAAACMGAGTTCATTTGCCATGTTTTGAAAATAAAACGAGGAAGACGTTCGTAAAATGCCTCGCGCTCCACAGCAATGCAGCTGAGTTCTGGTCCACACCTCTTTTGGTGTTGCGATGCAGCTCACATCGTTGTTGGACATGTTCAACTCTGCTGGTGATTTATGAATCGCCAGAGGCAGCTTTCAGACATACTGGTCTTTGTGGCCATTTTGTGGAACTGTTTTGTCAAAGAGCCCCAAGTGGATGGATAGGATAGATTCAACCCTCATCGTCGTAATATGTTCAGCAGTGTAACAAAAAATACTGTATGTGTGGAGAGCAAATAAAGAACAAGCATAGTGAGAAAATCACTTTGGGAACCTAGACATGGTTGTATGACTTTAGTCCATTTACTTTGTGTGCAGACTGTCCACCCAGCCCTCAAGTAAAATTTCTGCAAAATCACTTAGTGAGACAAAGTGCAAACACATCCGATGCAGGGGTGTCAAACTCCAGTCCTCGAGGGCTGCTATCCTGCATGTTTTGGAGGTTTTCCAGCTTCAACACACCTGATTCTGTGATTGAATTAACTCTTCAAATTGTGCAAAAGCCTGTTTATCACCCAGCCATCAAAGTCAGGTGTGTTGGAGCAGGAAAACCTCTAAAACATGCAGGATAGTGGCCCTCGAGGACTGGAGTTTGACACCGCTGGTGCAGCAAGTGAGCAAAACAGTTCTTCTTAGTGTTTTCTTGCTCCCTGCTACTGCAGATGCTGTACCTTTAGGCGCATGTGCTTATATCAACACAAACCTAGTCACCCAGGAGGCTCCTCGCAGAAAAACACTGGTTTTTATCTAAATCATACACTTGGCATAAAAACTAACCTCATTTGTGTTCCAGAGAAATGCTTAATTGCATATCATTTCTTATATTTTTATCATTGAGAACATGCCTCTTGCAGAAAATATCCTGCCATGAAATGCTTCRCTGTGGACATTCAACATGTGAAATTAGCTTGCTTACAAGAAATTTCATTTCTTATGGCAGTCTCTCATTAAGGAACCAAAACTTTTAGCCAGTGCTTGGCTTATTTTCTCTACTTGTTCTTTTATGTATATTTGCAAATATGCTTGGCCAGACAATTACAACAATTTGCCCCTATGAACACGCGTCGTTACAGAAGTTGTTGATTAGGGGTGTGAGAAAATATCGATACACTGAAATATCACGATATTTCATTTCCCGATACTGTATCGATATTCTAAAGCCCTGTATCGATTTTTAATTAAGGTTTAAATTGTCAACTTTCCTGCCAGCCGTTCATTTTTATGTTGTTGTAGTCAACTGTATGTAGTTCAGCCTCTGACCACTAGTTGGCAGCAGTGAGCCAGCCATTTGGCTCCTCTAACTCTTGGGTGCCAGAGGGTAAGGGTAGCATTGGCATTGTAAGTGAACATTAGCTTTTCTTTTTTTCAGTAAGAGGTTTTTATTTAATAGAATTTTTGGACAAAAAAATCGCAATATATCACAATATATTGCCTTGCTTACAGTATCGCAATATATCGGGATATATCGTATCGTGACCCCTCTGTTATGATGTGTATCGTATCGCCAAATTCTTGCCAATACACAGCCCTATTGTTGATGCAAATTTAGTAATATTCCGCTCCTCTCACTGTAGTCCTACAACACGAGTTTCTTTCTTATGAGACATTTTTTTCACAGAGTGCACTACTCTTGAATTTAATCACACTTGAGGAAAACATGCTCACACTTCATGTTGTACACACAGCACCAAAAAACAAGTTTTCTGGGACATTTTTTTAATACGCAGTCAAGACCAGTCTGCCTTGAAGTGATTAGCAATCTTTTCCAATGGAATCCCAATGCAAAGTTAAAGCAATCTGTTTGTAGGATCTGGCATTCACGGTGCTTTGCTTTGCAGAAAGTCAAACTGACCTTGGCTTCCTCAGCCTGACACCACTTTTCTAATGCAAATGAGGGTCTAAGGAACAAAAGGCTAACTGAACATCTGAATAGGTTACTGATCGGACATTTCAATTCAGTCCATCTTATATGGGCCATAGAAAACAATGGTGAGTCGAGCATTTTGAATGGAGAGAAAAATTACAAATGTAATACATTACCTTAATAAAAACAACCAACATGCCATACTTTTTTTTTTATCTTAAAACCTTTGATAGGTTCTACAGTATTTGATTTATTAGAGCAGAATCAAATAAACTTATTGGTTTGGTTGCTGCACAGATGGCTCAGTCACCAGGAATGGACCAAAAATTGGCAGTATTTTACTTTTACCCGATGGTACTTTATTACTGTGAATGGGAAATGAGACAAAGCCAGGCTGTGGGATTTTTGAGCCTGCGATAAAACCTAACAGCTCATGAGGATGAACAGATTGAGCGACAAGTTGCAAAAAAAAAAAGTGTTTGCACCTTTGTGTATTCACATGTACTCTTCGTACAGAAGTGAGGACTGAAGACATTAATCTCCAGCCAAGCATTTTACAGTGACCAGGATATAACTTTCAGCCATCTTAGAATCTGCAGACTGACAAAAGAGATAACAAACCAGGTGGAGATGACCAGACGTCAAGACTTGATGACTGCTCCACACATAACAGACAGCTACTACCATTTCAGATGCATCGGTTTGTGTAGTGAAGGTCCCCAGACTTGAGCAGACAGATGTAAGGGGGGACAGGAGAATACCAAAATGCACCCAAAAGGTCAAGGATGTCTCAAGGCGACCACAGTGAGTACAGGGACATGTGATGCGTTAAATAGAAGTGGATAAAAATCATGACAAAATCCCCACGCAACCCATTTTATTTCCTCCTCCCTTTTCATAATTTTGCCAAAGAAGCCAGAGAGGACTCATTGCGTTCCCAACCCTATTCAGCACAGTGAGCGGTGTTACACTGGGACGTGTCAGGGGACGTGGTCTCATGGTTTTTGACAAGACAGTAGCCACAGTGCTCGCTTCTGTCTACAGGGGACCAAAGACGAACAAGAGGAAGCAGGATGAATCTGTCCCATTCTTCCGTGCACTCTGCACTGTCCATCACGTGACAGCCACAAAAATGCTCAAGAGATCCAAACAAATCTGGAGAATGGCTACTTWGACACAGTTGACCTTTTGTGGGAGAGCCTCTAAATTTAGTGAAAGTTCTGTCTTTATACCTAAAATTAACAAAGATTTGTTTAAATTGTTTGTTCGGTGTATCATATTGTATTCGAAATGCTCTTTTATTGCCTGACAGAGTTTGAAAGAACAGCATTCTACGCATACCTCAACATCACGCACACGTGCGCACACGCGCGCACACGCACGCACACACACACACACACACACACACACACACACACACAC